TCACAATTATTAACGCATTTATTAATTATTATATAAATTGAGACAAATGTGTAAAACATTTGTTGATTTTATGGACATTTGTCTAACCATTTGAGCCATCGTTTCGTTACAATCTCTCACACACTCTCACGGTTCGAGTGGAGAGAGAGAGGGGGAGGCGTGAGTGGGTGTGTGTGTGGGGGGCGGGTGTCCGGCAATCACAGGCCCGATGTCAACACTAAACACGAAAATGTGGGCAAATTGTGTGGTATTGTTGTTGTGGTCGTTGTCTCTCAGATCATGGCTTCATTTGGTTGTTGTTTTAGTTGCCGTCACTATTCAACCACACAATCAGTTATAAGTATTATTATTCACAAAACAAATCCATGTATTAATCAATAATAGTATTAAATGTTGTAATTTGTAAATCAATGAATAATTCACTTTTGAATTTCATGAATACATTTGTTGTGTTGTTTTAAGCGTCACTTTTTTAGGTCAACTCCACATCTCATGCAAAGTGTTGTTCACTATTAGTGTTCACTACTAATACTCGACTCGCGCTGTACTCTCACAACGCATACACAGCGCCAACACTTGTACACAAACTCTGCAATTCATGGCATTCATCGCAAACACACACTCTCTCACACACTCTCCCATACACTCTCTCCCCCTCTCCGTCTCTCTCTCTCTCTCTCTCTCTCTCACAGTAATGTGTGTTTGCAATGGCTTTGCGAATGCGATGCAATCGTTGCCACTTTTCGTCATCGCTAGCAATACAGTTCACTCCCGATGTTATACACTATTATAATAGACTAAATATTGTTAAATTGCATATAATGTTAAATAATGTATAGAATTTAGTAAAGAATTATACAATCTATGGATGAAATGCAATCAAAAGTAATGAAAAGTAATTAAAAACGATGTGTGAGTTATGTTATAATGTGTGCAAACTGTATGTCAGGCCTAATGATTGCATACAATAATAGTGTTTGAATGGGTGGCGAATGTGTGCCACAAATAACGGCACATCTCATGACTGGACGTGTTTTATATGAGTGAAAGATATTGTGTTTATATTTATTGTTAAATGTTTTGGTAATGAATGACGAAAACGAGTCGCGAGAGAGCGTCGCCGCCGTCGACCACAAGCCGTCGGTCGTCGCGACCACCGATCGCACCGAAGCCGTGCCCACCCGTGCGGTCGCCCCCCGAGGGACGGAGTACGGCATGCTATGGAGGCATCTGTTGGCGGGCGGAGTGGCCGGTGCCGTCTCCCGCACGTGTACCGCACCATTGGATAGGCTTAAAGTGTTTCTACAAGTAATCATTGCTCTGACCATTTCATTGTTCACTTGACACGTGTTTTACTAATCGCTATGCTTTGGTTTAACCCCACGCCTCCCCTCCAACTCTTGATCGCCTCCTTTGGTGCTGTTTTGATGGCCAATCCATTGGGTTCTTCGCTCGCATCGTTTGGTCACGTGATGTGTATCGGTAGGTAAGAGGAGCTGAATTTCACGGTCTGGGCATTTGCCTGAAGCATATGCTGGAAGAGGGCGGTGTGGCCTCCCTATGGCGGGGCAATGGTATCAATGTGATCAAGATTGCACCCGAAAGTGCCATCAAGTTTATGGCTTACGAACAGGTATTGTGTCTAATAATGATGCGGTATCTCATGTTTTCAATGGCTTTTGTATTAATTTGTAGGCAAAACGTGTGATTAGAGGGAACGCCACCCGAGAACTATATATTTACGAGAGGTTTTGCGCCGGTATTTAGCTTTTTAATTGATTGTTGTTTTGGACGAGTGATTGAATTGTCATTAACTTTGTTTATTTTGTGTGTCTATTGCGTTGACGTTAGGATCGATCGCCGGCTGTATCTCTCAATCTGTGATATACCCGATGGAAGTGCTTAAGACACGGCTGACACTGAGGAGGACAGATCAATACCAGAGTATAATGAGCGCCATTAGGCAAATACGCGCACAGGAAGGCGTATTCAGTTTCTACCGGGGCTTTTTGCCCAACCTATTGGGCATTATTCCATACGCTGGCATCGATTTAGCCGTTTATGAAGTAAACTCTTTAAACCTCTTTCTCTTTACTATTAATATGGATTAAATGTTGTGTTTCTCTCATCTCTTATACAGACTCTAAAGAAATTATATTTAAGGCATTATTATGTGGAAGACGACGCGCCGGGAATACTAGTGCTGCTCACATGCGGTACAGTGAGCTCGACGTGCGGTCAGGTCTGCAGTTATCCGTTAGCGCTGGTGAGGACACGATTACAGGCACAGGTGGACAAGAAGTACACAATGGTTGGCCTCTTTCGGGCGATTGTCACTAAAGAGGGCTTTTTTGGTCTCTATCGGGGAATCACACCTAACTTTATGAAAGTAGCGCCGGCTGTCAGTATAAGTTATGTGGTATACGAGAACACACGGCGAGCGTTGGGCGCCTCGATGTCCTGATGAGTGACCGCCGCCTCTATGACACGCGTTTAGACCAAATAATAAATTTAATAATATTTTTAACTTATATTTTTACTTAAAAATTTAATCCATAATTTTTGTTTGAATTTCAGCCGCAAATTCAACATAAATTTATACATAAAGTGCATATTTTTATTATTAATTATTATTACTATTACTGTTTCAGATAATAACGATAGTAATCATTAATTATTATAATTGATAATAATTTTTTTGGTAAAAT